TATAAAAAAAATATGAACAAATATATAGAAATAGAAGAAGGAGTATATGAACTTTGTCTCTTTTAGCCCTTTTATATTTCAAACTATTTTACTCTAAAACTCTACTTTACGTCATTTCAGAGAAGAACAAACTAAAAAAGGGGTGTGAGGACTTGTCATTTGTCATTATCCTACTACTATTATTATAATAGTGGTTGGTTGCGCTAATATAAATATAATTAAGGATATGATGGAATAGATGAGCCCTGAGCCCTTAAATAAAAGACTAGAATTTGAATTTTAGGGATGGTGAAATTACTGATAGAGATTAAAGTTAATCATATTAATAAAAATTAAATTTGATCAGAATGATAAAATAACATATTTTTCATTTTGTTATTTTATCTTTTAAAATATTTTTACTATTTTAACTTGAATACCTTTTAATAAAAAATAAAAAATAATTAATTTATATTAAAATGAAAAAGATATTATAGTAAATTAGTTATAAATATTGACACATAACATGTTACTTGTGGGTTAAAAAAACCTGTGGGTTTTGAACCTGAACATTTATTCTTAAGATATAAATAAGTTTTGTAGGAATGAATAAGTCAAGGCATAACTCACTATGCGTTGTATACAAGAAAATATAAAAATTTGCCTAGTAAAATATTTGTTTTTTTAAATACCAGAGTTATTTTCAGTTTTTTTTTAACTTACGATGCATTGTACAAAAAATAATACGACCCAAAAACGAATGACCCAAGACTTTTCGAATTCTAATGAGCAAACATGAAGCTTATAAAAATTACATATAATAGAAAAATGAAATAGTTAGTCTAAAGTAAATGATTAATCAATATAAAGATTTAACTTAAGCCGTAAATTATTTTTTTTAGAATAATTAACCATCTTAATTTTGTATGCCTTCTAGAAGCCGTAAATAATAAAGATGAACAGGGATATATATATAATAATAATAATAATTATAAATAATTGACGCCACAGTAATGATTTAATTAAGCTATGTTATGATAAATATTATAATCATGCCGCCTTTGATTTATGGGTTCTAAAGTTTAATTGATTGGCTTGGAAGTGATTAAAGTAAAAAAGGGAACATGCTAGGCACACTAATGCAAGTTAAAAGAGAATCATGACAAGGAAGAATGTGTATTAATTAATGATAATTTTAGAAGGTATATGCATTTCATGAAGAAAATTTATTGAATAAATATTTCTCAATCTATTCTTATTTATATATCGTTTTTATTTAAAGATGTGTATTAATATTTTTTTAGTGAATTGATTCGATAAGAAATTATATTTTACAATTCAATTTTTTTTTAATTAATTTGCTGTGGAAACAATTTGTTGTTTTACTTTCTAATAGAGTCATAAAATATGATTAAAATTGTTCTCGCTAAAACTCTATATATTAGGGGTGTTTCCATTAGTAGAATTAGATTCTTTCGATAAAGAAGATAATTAACCTAAAGTAGCAGTAATCTGAGAATATAATTATTGTCAAACTCAAATTAAGGAATAAAGAAAATTAAAGGCAAAAGCAATGAAATGACATCAAAAATAATTAAGCATGCATTAGTCGAAATCAATTTATTTTTTTTTACGATCGTGGATTGATTCAATGAATTCAATGATGTTAATTGAAATATTTACATCACGGATGCTAGATTCCATAAAAAAAAAAGGTGGAGAGAACTCGGTAGAAGCGTAGTCAAGTGTGTGCAAGGAAATTTATCTGATGTTACTTGATATAAAAAATTATAATAAAATTTATATAATTTATTTTAAATTTATTAAATCCTCAATGAAAATTCTGACTTCGTCCGAATATATCTAAAACTTTATTTATTTATTTTTTCAAATTTAAAAGGAAAAGGGAGATATAATAATCATTATTCTTTCACATAAAGTTTAATTTCCTACTAATCATCGTACATTTTTGTTTTGCTTTTCACTTCGAATGTCTTAATTAAGTACTTCGAGAAAAGATGTTAGTGGTGGGTCTAAAATATCTAATTACGGCTTGAAACTTTTTTGCCTCCTATCATCACAATTAGCATATTCTATATTCACATTATTTTCAAAATTAATAAAATTAAAAGGGTGGTGATGATGAATTTGGGGAAAATATAATAGATATATAGTTTTGTTTTTGGTATTTAATTCTTGTATTTGTGTGTTGTTATTTCATGACACCACTTAAATACTAAATCATACCATATATAATTAGCTATGCATGATCTAAAATAATAAAAACTATAAACGAGATAGACCATATTTATATCATGATTGTTACATCTAATACATCAAACTAAATAGAACCTATTCGTCTTATATGATTTGTATGATCATGATCCAAGTTCATTATAATACGTATTATCTGTTTTTGGCTTAACTGACCTTACATAATTATTTTTGAGCTACATTGTCATTGAATTTTAGAACATATGTATCATATGAACTTTGTTATGTGTTGCCTTATAAGGCTACCTTGACAATATTGTAAAAATATAAGGGAAAACATACCCATTTAATCTATGCCCGAAATTTCAGAGAAACAGTTATACTATACTAAGGTCTTATTATCTCCCGAACTTATTTTATAAATATTTTTCTACCCCTTTTCGGTCTATGTGGCACTATCTTGTGGGCCCACATGTGTTGACATTTTTTTTCAAGCTAGTGCCACGTATACCAAAAAGGGTTAGAAAATTTATTTATAAAATAAGTTCAGAGGGTAATAGGACCTTAATATAGTATAAAAGTGTCTCTAAATTTCAGGCATAAATTAAAAAGATACTTATGCATTTTCCCAAAATATAATGGTAACACTAGATAACATACTCTATATTCGATCTTATCTATAGAGCTAGCCACTTGTATTTTGAATAAATCTTGTACTAATACTTTTTCTAATGTAACTTAGGACAAAAGGTCCAATCCTAATTATCTTCTTTTTATCTGAGCAAATCGAGTTAGCATTTAGTTTTCCTTTAGATCAACCTACTTTGGGGTGGTACTCAAATTAAATCTTCATATTTATAAGAAAAAATATCATGAGGAATTTGACCTTTCACTTTTATTTTTAATTACAAAAATCATCCTATTATTTTCAAATGTCTCAGTCGATCATGACCAAAGTATTTAAATTCCAATTGACCAAGTTCTATACGAATCTCATACCACAGCCATATTCATGATCTATCAACAAGGATGCGCCACCAAAAAATAAAGAATAAAAAACAACTTAGGTTGAGACTATCTAAAACTAGATGAGTAGTGTTGAATGCCTTGAATCGGACCCGCTACAAACAGAAAGGACGGGGTTCTCGCTGCCAATGTTGTTGTATTGGGCCCTTAATTTTCTGTTGATTCTGTATGTTGGGCCCAAGCCTTTTAGGGCGTAGCTTAGCACTATATATAGACGCTATGGCAAACCCTATTCTGTAATTCTGTTTTTGCCTCTCCATAATAAAACTGCTCCCTCTCTTCCCGTGGACGTAGCCAATTTATTGGTGAACCACGTAAATCTGTTGTCTTGTTTTTCGCGTTTATATTTTCTCGTATTATCCTCAAATTCCGCACAACAAGTAGTGTTGGCATGCAGCACCAAATGTCAGGGTTATAAAGGTGTGAACATGAAATGTTGTGTCCTTTTTAATGGATTGTGACCGTTTGGAAGGTTGTGTCTTTTCTAAACTGTTGTGACAATTCTGAAAGATTGTTTTCTTTTCAAATGATTGTGATCTTTATCCTTTGTCGGCTATACATAGAGAGACTTTCTTCTATTTTTCTGCATCGACTTCTTCCCTTCTTCTTACATACATTTCGTACAAAATAAATTTGATTGATCGTGTCTGTGTGTGTGATTCATTGTTGTCTTTTTGAGTTCGTTGAAATTATTAAAGTTTAAGGTACCACTACTTCTTTAATGGTTAATCCGTTTTATCATGGGAGGTAATCTGCAAACCTCAGGAACTTGACGGGATTAAATTTTTTTAATTAAGGACACACAGTGAATTCTGTGGACTCGGATAATTCTTTATGTTTTTCTCTTCATTTTTTATTATTTCAGCTTTGCTAATCTGAATATAGGAGACAACACTATATTCACTGAATTTCTAATTTAAGAACTAAATAAAAGTCCCAAAAAGGAGAGGCAAACCCAATGAAGTAACATCGAAAAATATTCAGGCATGCAAAAAATGCAATATTAGTGATTTTTACTATACGTCTTCATTGGAAAAAAATTATTCAATGATGTGAAATGAAATCTTTTCATCACATAGATTGTAAAGTTGAAGAACTTAAATTGGTGATGTGATCACAAACGAAATTATAATTGTGTTTTAGTGAGTGGGTCTACAAATCTAATTACTAGCTCAATATAATTATATTTTGTCCTCAACAATCAGCACATTTTGTATTCACACATTTTGTCCACACACAAACCGTGTTCCAACAATTTGTGGGGAAGCAGTTAATTAGATCTTGATTGCCAATTCCACAATAAGATATTGTATATTACATTGTAGTAATGATATGTATGGAGAAGACAAAATTATATAACTATATTTAAAAATGAATTAAATATCGTATCGTATATTCACTATAGTAATATTGAGAAGACAAAATTATGTAACGATGTTTAAGATGAATTAGATAGCATACACTCATTCTAGTAATATGAAGAGAGGAAAAACCAAGCATATTGATCAACTTGGGAAGAAATATCTTTAGTTTTGGATAAACATTTATTACGTCTAATAATCATGCATCCTGTGGTGAAAATTTCAAAAGGAATGTCAAGAAAATACAAATTAAAAATAGTGGAAAATTTTGACCCTAAATACCCTTTCCATGTCAAATCTAAATCGATTTGAGAGATATGATTTCAATTTTGAAGATTTATATATATCCCTTTAACTTCCAAATTTCAAATATTCCAAGTACATGGTGAAAATAATTAATATTTCAAGGATATAGAACCTTGTTGTACTCAAGATAGGAGCGTATAATTGAAGCATATAATTAGCATGGTCCAAAAAGTACATAATTTTTTGGGTCAGAAAAACTTACGTAAGATAACTAATCCCTTCATTTTCTTTTTCGTATATCACTATCATGATTTGCAATTATTAGCTTGCACATAATGTTCTACTATTTCAATCACGATGAGATTGGAGTGGTCGCGTCAGAATCAGAGTCACGAATAGAACATGTTCATTCGATGGGTTTGATTAAAATAAAAGTCATCCTTTGATTTTAACAAGTGGTATTAGAGTCAAGGTTATTCATTTGATTTCCAGACTTCCATCCATCCAAGTATAAGTTAAAACCGACTGTATGAATCATCACTGTTCAATACACCGTGTTTAAGCCCGTCACATACTCACATTTGAATATTATTAAAGGAATTATATATTGATTTGAAGAAAGGAACAAGATTTAGCAATATAAAATCCTAACGAGATTTTATATATCCAACTCATTCATAGGCTAGTTAGAATTACAAATATTTTTTCCCCACATTTACCATTGTTCAAACAAGGGTGTCAAGTAAAGAAGAGCCACAAGAATTATCCACCAGCAGCAAATCCGCGAACACAGTAACTTTGATTCAAATCTTATATTGCCTTACGTAATCCATTGAGTTAATATGTACAAATTATTGATTTAGAACCCAATAACGTAACAGAAGTAAAAACACAAAATCACAAACTTTAAATTCTGGCTTTGCCTCTAGCAAATAGACTATCTATTGAATAATATTAACAGTAAAGTGCATTTTCCCCAGTTCAAACATTATGATCATCAAACTTGAGGAACAGCAAATTTTCCAATTCTTGGAGATAGAGTAGATTGCTTATCAACTATCGTCAATAGTTGGGGTACAGACATGCCTCCTGAGATTACAATTTCTGCAACATGTAGACGAAAAATCGGACACTTCATAACTATATTATCCTCAGGAAATTGTTTTGGTACGACTGAAGTCATTTTCTATATAATTTATTAACATTGAACGTATGTTTTTTCTTCTTTCAAAAAGGTATGTCATTTTTAATGACTTCTATCGTACCAACTAAACGTAAAAATACTTGTAAAAGTTGAAGTTTAAACTCTTTACCTATTCCTTCTCTAACAGAGAGATTAGGCCTCATAATGTCCTTAGAATTGATAAGGAATACATCTCCAAGGTAAAGATGATTAGTAGGAACATAAACACAACAGAGTTCCTCAGCACCTGTGTTTTTACGAAGAACAATGCTTGATGTAATGAAACCAAACGCGTATTCACCAAGGCGCGGATGCCTTATAATTGCCACTTCTTTGAAGGCATGTGAATCTTCATCTGAAAAAAAATAATAACGTAGCTCGATAGGAGGTCTAAGACTGTGGCAGAAGTTGTAGCGTTTGAGAATCTATTTTGAATGGTAGAAAAGGTGTAATTTAGTTACCTGGTGAAATTGCACTACTAATTTGCTTGGATGCAGTGTAGATATAACTCATGAGTGGCATTTTTTTAATGATCCATTCTCCTAAACTAAGAAGAGATGCACCTAACCATGAGGACATGGACACACCAACCAAGAATATGAAAATTAAGGATGTCACAAATCCAAGACCTGTAAATTGTTAGAGAAATAGTTATGAGAGACACAAATACTTGTTCATCAAAACAAGCAATTCCACGAAATATCTGTCATCTCACCTCCCACCAATAGGCATCAGGTAGCTCCTTGACTAATTAATCCATGAGATATCTATCATATTTCACCAACAATAGATACTCGATAATTTTATACTAGGACAGATAGGAAGAAATCACCTAGTGTTGTTATCTCTACGAGGAACTAAACTTGAGACCTCATAGTTTCCAACTTACCACACTGACCACTAGATCACAAGTTTGGGTGCTATCCCGAAGAAATTCAAATTTAAACTCCTCATTTTATTCTCATTTGTGAAGCTTTTTTTTAAGACTCGCGCAAATGTAATGACAAGTTTAATTAAGACTACACATTTCAAAAAGTCTTCCTAATTTTTACTAAAATTCTTGCTAAATCAAACTAAATGACATAAATTAGAATGAAGTTAATATACTGACCAAATACATCAATCCCAAGATGATTATAGATTGGAGAAAAGAAGCCATCCACAAAATTAATGAGCTTCCAAGTAAGGTAGAAAGTTATGGCTATGGGAAATAATATGACACTGCAAAACAATGTGAGAATCACATCAATAACAAAGATGTTTTCTTTCTCTTTGAGTAAAATAAAATCACAAGGGGATTAATTAAATTTCTTAAAAATACATTATCAATTCTGTGGACTTAAATACTTTTCTTAATAAAAATTTCTGTTTCTGTTTTCCAGTTTACTTCTATTGTCTTATTTACTTGAACACAGTTTATTACAAAAAGAGTATAAAATTATAAATAAAGATAAGAAGGAAACTAACCATCCGCTCACAAATTTTTTTGAAAGCCAGCTATGAATATGTTTGCCAAATGCCTACAAAGGTGAAAACTAAACAAAATATTAGCTGAATTCATTTTCACTGAAATTAATTAGCAACTCTAAAACAAGAAAATTATAACAGGTTAAATCCTATTTATCATGATATTTTAGTTCAAGTTTTCCTTCTTTTTTTCTTCACCCTAAATGTCAAATCACTAAGCTACATGTTTAACTGAATTCAATATTTTAACATGTTAGGTAAAATATAAATACTTTTTTGTCTTGTAATATAAGTCTATATTTGAAAAATTACTACTAAAATTTCATATCAAATTTTGAACCAATAATCTAAATTATACAATCAATTTAGAGCTCATTAAAGAGCACAAAATTGAACCATTTTTTACTAATATTTAAATACCGAATTCGTCTTTGAACCCTATAATTTTTTATTTAACCCAAGCTTCCCTTATGTCACGTGTATAATGTGATAGAAGGATAGAGGTAGAGTGATATATCAAGCTCATTTGAATTCAGTGTTTTCATGTAAAAATAAAATTTATTTAAAATTGCAATAAGTAATATATTTGAAATCGTAGAATTTCAATTCTAAATCCGTCTAAAATACATAGAGATAGAGAGAAAAGACCTCTTTGTCGGAGTGATGAGAGGAAGGCGAGGGAGATTGATCTGAAGATTTGGAGCCGTTGATTTTTGTTACATCAACGGCCAAGGTTCCCACCGGCATCAGACGTTCCAGATCTCTATCCTTGTCTGATCTTCCCATCTCTAATGAACAGTAATTAATTAATTAGAACTGGTAATACAAATGCTGATCATAAGCAAAATGCAGTTATTGAATATTTCCTCCTAATCAAAAAATAAAGAAAATAAATACTAATCATCTAATACTCCATCCCATGTGGTAAATTGGAAAAGTTTCAACTTTAATGTGATATGCAAAATAAATGAATTCTTTTACATTTTGTTTTTAGAAAAAATGAAATTATTTGTCCAACACACCATTTGAATATATGAAATGATATTTTTTAGATTTTTTAAGTGTAAAAAAGGATTAATATTTAATAATGAAAAAAATCCGCTGATTTGTAATTAAAGGCGGTCTTGATCAAAGTTTTCGGATTCTTCACGTATACCTAATTTAGTTATTTACTTAAAATCAAAAGAAAATAATAGGTAGTTAGTTCCCAAATAATTTAGGATTTAATTAATTAGGACATGCATTATTCCCATGATTGGTTAATTCTACTCCTATAAGTTTCCATATTTAATTAATCACTCATATATGGATTCTAATTTCTAAATCAACAACTTACATATTATTATAAATATATCTAAACATGTGATTGCCTTCATTAAACTCATTCATCTATAACCTTCAACTCTTCACCAACACACAAACCAAAAAAAATATTTTGTTTTCCTCAAAGACTACTAATAATTAGGTATCTGATATTTTGTTCGAGGAAGTTTTATGTATCTGATATATTTTTTTCTAATCGAGAAGTCATATTTAAAAAATTCTTTAAGGTTTGTATGTATTGCCGCACTATTTAAATTTGTCTATTTTCAGTATTTCTAATTTATGAGTTAATACCTCAGATGGTCACTCAACGATGCACTCTTCTCTCATAAAGCCACTCAACTTTCAATTTTCACTCAAAAGCACTCAACGATACACTTCTTTCTCAGAAAGTCACTCAACTTTGAATTTTAATTCAAAAAGTCACTTAACTATTCACTCTTTCCTCAAAAAGTCACTCAATCTATTTAGTTGTTTTTTTAATTAAAATTTATTGATATTAATTATTTATATAACAAACCAAAATTTTTAAAAAATAAAAATACCATTTAAACCATTTAGTGATCCACCCACCTAACCCGACCATTAAAAAAATATGATATTACCCATTTTATTTTGTCTTTAATCCTAATTCAAGGTTTAAAGAGAGGGATTAATTTAGAATTAAAGACAAAATAAAATGGATCATATCATATTTTTTAATGGGTCGGGTTAGGTGGATGGATCACTAAATGGTTTAATTTATTTTTTAAAATTTTTGGTTTGTTATATAAATAATTAATATCAACAATTTTTAATTAAAAATAATTTAATAGATTAAGTGACTTTTTGAGGAAAGAGTGGATAGTTGAGTGACTTTTGAGTTAAAATTCAAAGTTGAATGACTTTCTGAGAAAGAAAATAATAGTTGAGTGACTTTTGAGTGAAATTAAAAGTTGAGTGACTTTCTGAGAAAGAAAGCAATAGTTGAGTGACTTTTGAGTGAAAATTGAAAGTTGAGTGACTTTCTGAGAGAAGAGTGCATAGTTGAGTGACC